TATCCCAATCCATACACACATCAATTGTGTAAAGCGCATTTGTACATCGTTTCTCAAAACATTTTCTCTCCATTTAAACCCCCGACATTAGGTCCTCCAGAATGCTGCTTATAAGTGAGGATGGTAAGACTTCATCTCAAGTCCTTAGGACACGTTATAAGAAGGGGCCAGTCCTTGGAGAAGGACATCATGCTAGAAAAAGTAGGTCAGCAAAAACAAAAACAAAACCAAAAATCCCTCAACAAGATGAATTGACCCAGTAGCTATAACAATGGGTTCATGCAGAGCAACGGTTTTGAGGATGGCACAGGACTGGGTAGTGTTTCCTTCTGTTGTGCATAAGGAAGCTCCGTATTGGAATTGACTCAATTACACTTACAACTAAATATAATACATATTTATACATATGAACTACATACATACAATAATATAGGTGTGATTAGTGATTTTTATATAAGCAGGTATACTTTATATGTATTATATATAATCCTTCTAATGGGAAGTCCAAAGTTTGGCTCAATGAAAGTTAAAAGAGTCATTTGGTATTCTGTAGACAATATTATCTACCTAAGACACAAACCAAGGAGCCCTGGTGGTGAAGTAGTTACACGTTGGGCTACTAACTTCAAAGTTAGCAGTTCAAAACTATCAGCCACTCCACTGGAAAAGAGATGGAACTTTCTACTCCCATAAAGAATTACAGTCTCAGAAAGCCAAAGAGGCAGTTCTCCCCTATCTTAATAGGATCACCATGAGTCGCAATCAACTCAATGGCAATGAGTTTGGCTTTTTTGGTTTAAGACAATAACCATTTAACTCAGTTAAGTATTAAAAGTTGATATTATTGGTCATGTATTCTACCTATTAAGATGTTAGGGGAAGCTAAATGAAACAAACAAACAAACAAACAAAAAAACTGGCTTGGAAATGATATTTTAACTTTAAAAGGTTCTAGCCTTAATATTAATGGTTTCTTCCCCAACACCATCCTTTCTTTCTTTTTTTTTTTAATCTACCCTTTCTCTTTTATTTTTTGTGAAAAACTAGGCCTTTCTATTTTGAAGGTTCTTAAAATTTATACTGTGAATAATTATTATGGGGCATGCAATTATGGTATTAATTTTGGAAGAATTCAGTTTAGAACAATAGTTACTAGTTGTAAATATCTATTACTGCACTATGTATTTAACTTTTATATCTCAAATCCTCATGAAAAAAAAGATACAATATTCTTTTTTTTTTTACATTTTAAAATGAGTTTATTACAGAACGTTTGTAGGAAGGCAACAACTTCTGATTTGTCATTTAAAAAAAGTTCAGTTTTTCCATACTGTATAATAAAGGTAAGCGGTTACAGTTATAAGCTTCTTCCTAGGGGAATTTTGTGCTAGTGTACCACAGTTTAGCCATTTCTGCACTGCAAGAATAAATTTTAAAAATCTCTTCTATGCTTCTCCTCAAACAGCGAGAAACAGCAGAAGATGGCAAGAGAAAGCCCGTTTCTTTAATCATTCTGTAGTGCTGGAGCCAGTATTTTTACCATCACAGGCTACAATTTTCACTTTATCCACTTTAATAAGCTCTGTCACCTCTCTGAATTCAACATCATTCAAAACAAAAGTCCACACATTATCGCAGAATCTGTACGTATTTAGAGAGCCCCTGAAATTGACTCTGTTCCTGACCCTTGGAGCCAAGGCTGAATTTATAGCGTTATCAAATTGAAGAAGAACCTGAAGGGCGAGTTGAGGAGTGATCTGTTGAGACTGTATGAGTTCATCTAGGCTCTCCTGAAGGCTGTTCCCCAGAGTGGTGTTTCTGTATAACTGATAGGCCATGGCTTAAGTGGGAGATGTTTTTCTTACTCAGGCTTGCATTGATATCCTGTAGGGAAAGCGCTTCCCGCTGCGGAGCGCACAGAAGCCCAGCGGAGGAGCCCACTTCCCGACCGATCACCTCTTCAGCAGCCGTAGAAACTCGATACAATATTCTTGTTCCCATTTTATTCTTGAGAAAATGGGCTCATCAAGTCTAAATATCTTTCCCAAAGCCTGTAAATGGGCAAAGAATATGCTTCCTTATTCATTCCTTCTACGGAAATTTACTGAGTGCTTTCTACAAAGGGCTTCAAAAAGTTCAAGGGAACATGGAATTGCAAGATAATGGATATGAGCCTCTTCATATAAGTCAGAATTCAAGGATATAATCATGAACAAGAGAGAGATAGTCCCTGCCTTAGTTAAAGGGGGCAAAAAGGGACACATGAGTAAGGTCTAACAATAGAGTGTTGGAAGTGTTGTGAAGCCAAGAGTTCTGTTAGCACACAAAGTGAGAATTTTCCCACTGAAGAGGATGGATTGCTCTAAGCAAAAGTGGCTCATCCTAATTAAGTTTTTAAAACAGCCTCCAAAATTCCTGATCTTTAGATTTGTGTTTCAGCAGAACAGCTGTTTGAGTCAGGTTAGGTAATCGATAACAGGTTAGTTCTTTCTCCAAATGGCTGCTAGGCTTGAGGAAATTCCCAGTGAATAATTAACACTAGAGTAGTCTGCCAGCTATGTTTATTAATATATTGCTTTTGTCTCAGGGTGGTGGAATAGTAGTGAGTCAAGAGAGGCAAGCTGAAGAGTCTTTGCTTAATAAATATTCATTGACTGAGTGAGCCAAAGATGATCAGTACCTTGAAACAGGGTTTCCCAAATGGCATCCAATACCTGTGACGTTAGGTAATTACCAGCTGAGTCAAATGTGACCTACTGATCCAGTCACGGGACGCTTCCATTTCTAATTTCATACTAATTTGTATTTTTTTGGTATCTGAAGTCTGACCATTTGTCTCCTTGCTTTTCCTCAGTAAGTGATCTTAACACTAAATGATATGAGTGTGAGTTATAGCGTAGAGTTAGAGAAATTGAATTGTGAATCTCTGAAATTAAAATAGAAAGTTATTTTGATAAATAATATTGAAAGTGCCACCACTTTACATCTCAGCCTGGGGTATATATGTTAAAGCTTTCCCATACACTATTTTGTCTGTTTTGTTATTTTTTAAACAACAATCTATTTGTAACAATGGGTAAGTATTATCTTATAGATAAGGAAACTGTCTTATTAGCAAAGTAAGAAATGGGACAGAATTAAAACCAGGTCTTCTTACTCTTAGCTCATCTCTATGTTACATTGCTGGATTAGATATCCATGCAGACCTTGATGACTCCTTTATGTACACAGAAAGGAATAGTGTAGACTTGAAGTGTCTCTCGCTATGCTGGAAGCTAAAACAGATTAAGTTTATCAACAGAAAATAATATTACAATGAAAATAGAAAAAGGTAGCAAGGGCTCATTCTATGCCACTATACTAAAATGATAGGAAGTCATTTTATTCCTAAAATTTAAGTGTGTAACTGATGAAAATATGATGAACATTATAAATTACCTTATTTAAAGATTCATTTTCTATAAATAGGCGTAGAAGTTTTATTACCTGGTCTCTAGGTTTCTCGTTGTAAAATGACTGGTTTCTCGTTGTAAAAATGACTTACACATAATCTTTTGAAATACTTATATATGAATGCTGTGATATGAAAATATATATTGGGAATTTAAGAATTCATTCGAGTTATAATAGGAAATCTTCCTGTAGGGTCTAGTTCCTTTAAAGTGAGAATATTTATTGAGTACAGGACTCTGGGAGACAGACTGGACTTTGCTCATTAAAATCTGCTTCCTCTGTCCTTTAAAACATACTTAAGACGTAACCATAGTCAATAGGGTATACACACATACATTTTTCCCGGTGTAAGAGAATTAGGAGAAATGTCTACAGTTGAAATACCTTAGACCTCATATTGAACTCAGTAGTTCTGAGTGAAGCGTTCCTAATAAACCTTTCCTAATGGCCTCTTATCTTTTCATCCAAAGTAAATAACTAGTGGTGAACAAGAAGGGACATATCTTCATTCACTTGATTAAAGTTTTAAAGTTCCCGGAATACTTTCTAGAAGAAGGTGTTTTTGATGGTTGAGCCAACGGTTCCATGAAATGTCAGTCTCTAGTAGTCATGAATTACCTTTAAAGTTGCAAGGTGTCTGTAGCTATACAACCTTCCATTGTTTCAGTTAACATATATTTCTCACTCATTTAACAATTAGCCATGTATACCAATTCTGTGCCCAAACCATGGCCTGGATCTCAGGAATAAATTAACAAGGAAGGCATGGGAGCTGGTAGCCTTGCGGGGAGAATCTACCCTTAGAAAAATGGAGATCTGTGAATTGCTAAGGACTTTTTATTGCTCTCTTTTTCACCAGGACTTGGAAAAGATTCAACACAGTTTTAGAGCACAGGGGTTTCAAAAAATGCACGGAGAAATGAAAAGATAAGAAACTTTCCTAGGATCTTTTTGAAGACTGCTCCTATTCAATGAATTTTACTTTATTGTGTGACTATGCTTTTTTTTTTTTTAATATATGCCTATAAATGCCAGTAAGGCTAGAAACCTGTCCTGTTTCCCAGCACCTGGTAAGTCCATGTTGTTGTTGGGTGCCCTGGAGTCGGTTTCAGTTCACAGAGATCCTGTGCACAACAAAAGGAAACACTGCCCAGTCCTGCACCCTTCTCACAATTGTTATGCTTGAGCCCACTGTTGCACTGTGTCAATCTATCTCATTGAGGGTCTTCCTCCTTTTCTGATAGTCCTCTACTTTAGCAAGCATGCTATTCTTTTCTAGGGACCGGGGCATCCTGATAACATATCCAAAGTTGTAAGTTAAAGTCTAGCCATTCTTGCTTGTAAGGAGCATCTGGCTATACTTCTTCCAAGACAAATTTGTTCATGGTGTATTCAATATTCTTTGTCAAAACCATAATTCTAATGCAACCATTCTTCTCTGCTCTTCCTCATTCACCATTTAGCTTTAATATGCACTTCAGGTGACTAAAAATATATAGTTATTTTTTATGTTGTGGTGGTTGTGTTAGTCTGGGTACTTTAGAGAAACAAATCCACAGCAACTGATGTATAAGAGAGAGTTATATATAAAGGTTAAGTGCTCATCAAGAAAACACCCCAACCCAGTGCTGCCCAAGCCCACAAGTCCAACATTAACCCATTAACCCATATGTCCAACACCCATCCACAAAGTCCTCCTCCATCTCACAAAACAGACGCAATGATGTCGACTGCAGGAGGAAAGCTGAGTCAGTGAACGTGTAAGTATCTCAGCGCTGGCAGGGGTCTCCACACGGCTGCTCCAGCACCCAGGGCTGCATCGGGGTAGGTCCATGGGGGTTCTCCTCAGGAATGTCTTACAGGAAGTGAGCCTTACCAGCTGAAGCAGGGAACTGGCTAAGGCAGCTGCACCCTGGTCTGACCACCAGACAGCAAGAGACCCAAGAACTGGAAAGGCGAGGCTGACTGTGCCATTTATCCCTCTGCCGTTCAATTAACCCCACATGTGTTTATCTGCCAGGTTGGCACAATAAACTAACTACCTCAGTGGTAGTTGGTGGTGGTGGTAAGAAAAGAAAGTTCTTGGTATAATGGCTCTCTTGTCTTAGATGTAAAGAGTCCTGTATGCAATGGTTAAATGCTCAGCTGCCAAGCAAAAGGTCAGTACTTCATTGTACTTGGTACAGTTGAGGGCCAGTGAAAATGGGGAAGACCTTTAATGAGGTGGATTGACCACTTGCATAGCACTGACTTAGGATCTTTCAGGACCCGGTAGTGTTTCATCTGGTTGTGTATAAGGATGCTGTAAGTTGGAACCAACTCCATTGCACCTAACAATATATTTTACCACGTGAAAAATTTAAAAACTGCTTTTCATGGTTAAAAAAAAAAAGGACAGGTTACAGTCCCATAGCTGCCCGCTGTCCACATGCTCCTTGCTCAGACCTTTCAATATGGAGTATAAAATTGCTGTTCCACATAGACCTTGGTAATGGACTGACGGGGTGGTTATAAAGGAAGTATCATAATGCTTTCATTCCTAGGGCACAGTCTATAAGAATCTATAGTCACAATCATGGAGGATTTCATTAGTACTCAATGATCGGTGGTGATAGGTATTTGACACTTTAATAGTCTTTGGGCTTGTAGATTATAGGATAGCAGATTTTCTAAAGTTTAGTTTAGCAAGTCAAGAATTCAAGGAACTTTTCTTTTTTGGTTGTTTTGCTTACTCTGTGATGGCTAACACCGGAAAAAAGGAGAAGTATTCATTTAGCTGTAAAAGATGTATCTAATTTCATTATGGCTACCACGATGAGTTACTTTCAAAACAGATTGAGTGTGCGTTTTATAGCCACGGGATACAGAAAATGCCAGACACATATATAATAGAGACATCTATGAATATATATTTAAGGAGCCCTGGTAGCACTGTCAGGTAAATGTTGGACTGCTAACTGCAAGGATGGCAGTTCAAACCCAACAGCTGCTCAATAGAAAAAGAGAAGAGGCTACTGGTTCCCTTAAACTTGGTCTCATGAACCCTATATAGGGGACCTGTGACTCGGAATCGGTTCATGGCAGCTGTGGGGTTTTGGAGGGTGAATAGATTCTTTGGAGACAAAGAATACTTTAAAAACAAACTAAACTTACTGCCATCAAGTAAATTATGACTCCTAACAGATCCTACAGGGCAGAGTAGAACTGCCCTTTTGGGTTCCTAGGACTATAAATCTTTACAAGACCAGAAAGCCTTGTCTGCGGAGCAGCTGGTGAGTGCCAACTGCTGTCCTTGTGGTTAACAGCCCAATTTGTAACCTACTATGCCACCAGGGTTCCAAGAATACTGCAATAAAATGAAAATTCTTACTATTGAGTGGCTAGAAAAAAAGCCTTTAAAAATGTGAATTTATATTACAGGGGCTACACAATA